ACCTGTACATTATGGGTGGCAAACGACGGATCGGTCATCTTGATGAAGACGATTTCTACGACACCTACGACCACCAGGACGCATTTCCTCAGCCAAAGAGGCCGAGATTATCACATCTCATTCCCGACTCGGACCCCGGCTGTACACCACCACCACCACGCGGCTCTGTTCCCGTGCAAAACCTGTCTTTTCTGGTTATCCGAGAGCAAACATCGCCGACACCGCCCACGCCCGAATGTGCGGAACCCGATGTCAGCCCATCAGCCATGGAAAGGACCGCATCAGGTTTATCAATCTCATCCGACACCAGCATTTATAACCTTGCCGAAGATGAGGGCTCGAGACTTCTGGACGATGATGCTGCCGCCCGAATGGTGGAGGATCGATTGCACCTCAACCGGCGCCGAGCGAAAGACACGCAGCGGGAGAGGATTTTGAGGTCGCTCATTCAACCACGGTCACGCCACGCCGAGTTCTCCATCGACAACGCCGCGTTGGAGAGTATCTTCTCTGCGGCAAATGAGATTTTCTTTCACAACTGTCTTTCTCAGCGAGTCACCTGGGATTGGTCTCATGCGTCCAGCGCCCAGTACAAGGACCACATCATCGGCACCACAGCTCTTCGACGTTCCAAGATGGGAGGATTTGAGACCCTCATTGTGCTATCGAACCCAATCTTGAAAGATAAGAAGTACAATCGACGGCTTCTCATCTCAACGTTTTTACACGAACTTATTCACAGCTACCTATTCATCAAGTGCGGCATCAAGGCTCGTCACTGCGGTGGACACACGCCAGGATTTCGGAGAATCGCAGAGCTCATCGACATCTGGGCTGGGTCGGACAACCTGCACCTCCGCGACATGGAAGCTGACCTAGAGCACTTCCGTGAGGACGAAGGTCGCTCCTGCGGTCACGGGCCGACATTTCCTGAGGCGTCTCCTCGGGCCATCTTCCACAGCTCTCAGGAGTACCTTTCGCCTCATCAGCACATTTACTACGAGCACCGATCCTACGAACATGACAGACCACGCCCCCACCACCAGGATCGTTGGGATTTTTGCATCAATGACCACCCAGAATACTTTCCTGTCAGTCGGGGTAGTAGTCCCACATCGACGATCCCGACCACGACTGAGGGGGAATTTGAAGAAGTGGAGCCGTTGGAGGAAGGCGAGATCCGCGAGACACGTGGACGACTCTACTTCCCCGACGACTACGCCTCTAGCAGACACTCATCTGCTCACCACGAACGACATTATGACTCACACGACGGGCGATGGGCCCGTCCCGATGACCGACGAGGGCTGGTCTTAAGCTACGACAGCAGCCCCAGCTCCATCATCACCATACGTTAGGGGATGCCGGAATGCATCAGCGGCATCGCCAGTCATTGTATATTTACTTTCATTTGTTTCGCGGGTCGGCACAATGGCGTGTCAAGTTTGAAAAGCATATTAGCATGGCGACGGTGTTATCAATGGTTTTGGCGGCGGCGGCGGTCCTCCATGCGGAATCTACCAGGTGCATCTTTTCGGCTCAACATACGGACGGACTACTACTTTGTAATCCCTTTCCCATCATCTTAGACTCTTCTTCCCTGGCCTGGCCAGGCTTTCTACATATCATATCATCAATTCTAAACCAAAGCAGTACACACCACTGCTTTCCCTCGTCCCTCCTTCCCAGCACATAACCATGTTTCTTTCAACATGCTACGCGGGACGCGCAGAACTTCCCAAACCCATCAAGACTACCCCGCGGCACTGACTGCGGTCGGAATTTGAGTCCTGGGAATGAGCCCAGGCACCTTCTTTGACCCTTCCTACACAACCATATGGGAAGGAAGGAACGTGCCCAACGCTGCGACATCTGGCAGCTGCGCCAGACGCACCCAAGCGCGTCAAGGTGCAAGAAACAAAACTTACAAAACGGACCTGTCACCATTATCACTTCAAACTCGAACAATTGCCAAACATCACTTCGACCGTTGCAGCAATTCTAAGATGGCAGAATCACAGAAGAGATCGAGAAATTCGCCACCGCGCTGCCAACACTCCTCCTTGATATTCCGAAAGAACGATCACCTGGTACAGACGCAGTCACACAACATAAACGACGTCGCAATAACGTTAGCCGAGAGCATCGCCGGACAAGTGCAATGGACCGCCCGCGAGAAACCGTTGAGAGATACCGTCGCCCGCATTCTATCAAAACAAGGATCCGACAAAAGCCCGAAAATCGTTTCAGCCAGCACGATTTTTACCCTCATGAAATTGATCGATGAGCTCTGCTTTCCCGGCCTGCTCTTCCCCACAACCCACCTGAACCACGCCTCGCATCCGGTGCTTCTCGAAATCGGACAATGGCGGGGTCGCGTGGGGTGGACTCAGGCTCTCCGGACTAAGCCTGGACTACGCAACACCAGTCCGAGCCCGAGCATCTCCATCCGTTTGAGCACGGTCCGCCACCATGCGGACGGCAAGACGGAGGCGCTTTCGCTCCGAGAAGTCATCCAAATCGCGATCCACGAAATGGTCCACGCCTACCTGATACTCCTTTCCTGTCGACAGAAACAGTGCGGAACAGACTTTGAGACGATGCATCGGGATTTGGATGGAAGCGGGCATGGCCTCGCCTTCGTGGCGATACTGAAGGCAGTTCTGGGACAAGTGCAAAGTTGGGCACCGCAGTTGAAGGATTTCGGGATGACAGACGAGGCGATTGACCCATACGAAGATTTCAGTGTGAAGTTGTGGAAGAGGGGGGAAGGTATCGCGGCAAGGAGCAATGGCCAGAAGGTCTGGTGGCTTGCAGCAAGACCGCTATGAATTGAGGACGCGCGCGGTATTGACTAAGACTCGGTCTTCCGGACAACGGCATTCCGAGTGAACATATGAGATGGGACAACTGCTTTTTTTGGTATTCGCTCAAAGACTTGACTCACGGAACCGCACGGGAAATGGAAAGGGGAACAGACGGTTGTTTGTACAGTACAGGGTGGCGCGTAACAAAGCCACAGGACAAGACTGAACTCCCTCACGGGACATTCACACATTCAAGAGATCATAACTATGAGTTTAAATGAGAAGCACTTTATCCATCGAGGTGTCAAATTGCGGATATAAAACTGAAGAAGGCACCTTGGACTCCCCTGCCATCCCAAATCCCCCTCTCAATGGTTGCTAGATCTCGTCTGCGTTCGCGATTTTGAGTCTTGAGAGATCGAAAATTGATCAGATTCTGGAGGTTATTTGTGACATTAGTGCTTAGGCTCACAAACCAAGATCCCGAAAGTATGTAAGTCAGCATGGGCTCCAATTTGATAATGTTGGTCTCTCTCTTTCAACAGCTGATACCCGGCAATATCGTCCAACACGGATATGAACTCCCATATTGTCGTCGTTTCATTCGTCTTATCTTCGTATTCGCAAAATTCCCAAGCGCAAAGATTCGGAAGACCGAAGTATGAGCTGTCTTCGGCCTCGAAAACGAGACGCTCGTGGCTCGTTTCATCAATTTTTTCAAATACATAGTACGATGCCTGCGCGTCGAGGACGGTTTGCTTTTGGCGCAGTCGACGATCGACGAGCCAGAGCCTCGTATCCGGGGATGACGTCCAACTCTTCATGGCCGAAACCAGCCTGTGATATTTCAGCCAAGTCGTTTTATCCATGTTATCGGGATAATCGCGGTAAATTCCTTTAAGTCCGTTGTTAAAATCGCGTCTCCAAAAATACTGATATTCTCGGAGGCCATCGATGGTTAATGAACTGTCGAATTCGAGGGCTATGTGTTTGACCATGCTGCTCCCGACTAGCCGGGGTGCAAATGGCAGGAGCTTGGTTATCGCCCATTCAGTGTCTATGATGACGTCCCACACCTGCAGAAGTACTAGGTCCTGGCAGGGAAGAACCATGAAGCACTGGGGGCTTCCACGACTGTCGACGCTGAACATTGCCGGGAATTCATCTATTTTTACAGTGAATTCCGGTAGGTGCGAGTTTTGTATCGGGTCCGTTACTTTTGAACAAGCGTCGACATACTTGGACCACTTTCCGGCGTTATAGCGACGGCACATTGCCATATAAGACTCTTTGCAGGCGGTGAGGCCGCCTCCATCGACGACGTACGTTGACGGATTTCCCGCGGTCCAGGAGTGCGAGGCTGTGTCGTTGGCGGGAGTCGGTGCGCCAACGAATCGGCGATCGTCGCCCATCTTCTTTGCTAGGTGCCGAGGAAACGTGTTAGAAGTAGGCCGATGGTCGCGGTAGTTGTTTTCATCGATGTAGGTGAAGATGTGGACGCCTCGGTAGCCGGGCTGGCGAACTGCGAGATCCTAGATTTGGTCTCGCATCTCTCCGGGCAGCATGGGAAACTGGTGGAATGTCTGGGTGGCCATTTCGGTACTTGGCGTTGTAGAATGTTCTCGATGTTGTTGCTTGTCGCTCATGAAATGTTGATATTGCAGTTCGGCAAAGTGAAGTAGATTGCAGATGTCCACGAGGTTGGAGATTTTGAGACTGAGGAGCTTCTTAAGTTTTGCGAAAGTAAGTGCTCGCTGGCGTTTGGGTGTTTCAGGGTGCGACCGCGACCTTGTTTTTTGGGGGAAAAAAAAATTGAAGTACCTTGCGGTCCGGACGGATACCTTTTGCTACTTGGCCACATAGGGGTGGTAACAAGCGTACATGTCCATCAAGGTGATCTTTTTGATCGATTTACAAACGGAGTTGTCTGTTCTCCTGGACAAGCCTAGTCTTGTATCATGGCATCTAAACTTCCTTAATTTGGAAAGGCTGCTACGAAATAGTTCAAGGGTGGTTAGATCTCTTTCAAGTCGTGTTCTATTACCAGAGAATATTATGTATGTAGTCTATGTCGGGTTGTGTATGGTCTTTCCAGGGAATCAGAAACTTAATGAACCAACGATTGTAGTTCAGTTTGAACTTTGGCAGCCTCACAAAGCTTCAAACCTCATGTTGCTCAACAGGAAGGATAGCCTAATGCTCGACCAACGGTCTCTCTCCGGCATCCAACGTCTCCTGGATACGCTGAGAGGGCAGCCACTTCTCAGCAGGGATAAACCACCAAGAGAACACCGCGAAAATGGTGACAATGCCCATGATGACCGGGGCGTAGTTGAGCGTTGACGCCTCTACAGGAAATGCATATGGGGAGAACAGCACCGCCACAACCCAGCCATTCCATAAGACGGCGATCGCCTGAAATGGGCGACTCCATTTTCCAAGACTCCACGCCGGCTTGGGGAATGTCTTGGGAGTCAGGAAAAGTCTGCCCAGACAGATGAGACCGTAGGCGGCCGCCGACGGTACACCTGCCGCGGAGACCAGCGAGGTGAAGGCCACGGAAGATGGGAGGATCGTGCAAGTGATGACGGAAGCGACTCCCCACACGACGAGAATCGCGTTCCTGGGTTGGCCGTCGACGACCTTGGAAACCCAGGAGGAGTATGGCAGGACACCATCGCGAGCAACGGCGAAGACCAGGCGAGAGGCGGCGAGGACAGCGATAGCAGTGTTCTGGGAAGGGTCAGCCTTCCTTCTGCGTTATGAGGGTCCAAACGTGACTCACAAACCACAAAGCAATGATGCAGATGATGTTCATAAAGATGTGTGCCCTCTGGCCAAGAATGGCAGCGTACAAGGGCACGAACGGCTGAGCACCACCGTACGAGAAGAGGGTATCCGCGTCGGGCTGCATCAAGTCAGCACACATACCCGCTGATCTGTGTGATTTAGACTTACAACACAAAACAGGAAAAGAATGACGACAATGAAACCGCCAATGCCGCTGGTCACAGTACTCCAGAAGATGCCTTGTGCAGCCGCGATACTAGCGTTCTTGGTTTCTTCCGCAACATGCCCAGAGGCGTCGAAGCCAATGAGAATACCCGCAGTGGCAAGATACGAGAGACACCAGTTCCATCCGTCAGGGGCGCCGGTGCCGTTGTAGGTCGTCAAGAAGGCGTCATGAGCTGAGCGAAAGCCGATGGTGTTCTTCGTGGCAATGGGCAACCAGATCATGTTCAGCACAAAGTCCAACAGGACAAAGCCAGTGGACAGGTAGAAAATCCATTTGAAATAGCGAGCTGGGCTGCTGTTAGCAGCGTTGCAGTGACACTGACATGAACAACCTACGCGGCAGCAAGTTCCAAATTGCGGCAGCGGCAAGCATTACTTCAGTCGCAGCCCATTGGACCGCCCTGAACTTGATACTTGAGCTGTCAGACGGGAAGTCCAAGTTGAAGACGACGATTTCCTGTCAACCCATCAGCAAGAATACTTCCAGCCATATTCGGAGTTAAGCGGTAACTGACCGAAAGCATGTAGTTGACAGCTCCCTGAGTGTTGCCTGAAGCTTTGTAAGTCTATGCGTCATACAGTTGACAACAGGTTCTGAACTCGGAACTCAAAACTCACTGGCACAGAACGTTGTCCACGCAGTGGTACTCCACCACGCAACAATGAAACCAAGCAGTCTTCCATACTTGGGCCCTCCAGCTTCAGCAGCCCACAGGTAGATAGAACCAGCAAGAGGAAGCGACGAGCAAATCTCTGCGATGACAGCGGCGGTAATGAATGTGAAGACGCATGTAACGATAAAACTCGTCCTGCTTGTTGTTGAGCATGCTTGAGCTAGCGCAGTGTGGATTTGACCTTACCAGTAAGCCAAGTTTCCGCCAGCTGCAATTCCAGTCGAGAATGTCACGCGGACACCGCCAATGAAGTAAAGAGCAGCTAGTCAAGCTGAATTAGCGCGCGCGTTCTGTTGAGAGCTTCCGATGCGGAACTCACCAAAAGTTGTCGCAAAATTGTGGAAAACATTAAACGTTCTGTGCAACACCTGCAAATCCAGTCAGCTAACGAAAGTCCAATAATAATCTTTGCAACTTACAGGTTTGTAACCTAGGTTTTCCTGCAAAAGTCCTCAGTCAGCCCATACCCCCGGCACCTAGTCTGTATGTGTCAGGTCACGCACCAAGATCCGTGTGTCTTTGCTGGACTCTCCCTCGGTGTCGCTGTTCGTGACACCCACGTCCTTGCTGACGGTGCCATATTCCCGCTGCGCAGTCATCTTGGCGTTGCACTCAAGCAGTTATTGGGTGTCTGTCCAAATCGGGCGAATTGCGGGATGTCCAGAAAGAAAAAACACGCAAAATGGAGAATGCGCGCATCTTATGGTAGGTCCGTCAAATGACCCGAAAACTCGTCAGGTGGGACGGAAATACTCGGCTTTTGTTTTTAGTGAAGAGCGAAACCCTTCCAATGGCGGTAATTTTGACTCGCGTGATGTGGGACTGGATGACGGCATCGGCATGTAGGTACTAAACGGCTTTAGCAACACGCGCAAGCAACAGCCCTCTGTTGTTAGCGAGGTGAGCTCAGATTATATGGAGATGGTTTGGATTGAGAAGAATTCTCAGAGATTTATCTATTTCCCCGCGTTTTTTTCTTTATATCTTTCCAGTTGGCGCATGTATTTTTCTACGCTCAAATTGACCCCAAATGTTGCGAATGTACAGTCCGTTGCGTTAACAGCGTCCGCCCCTAATTTTCAGCCTGAAAAAGGTAAAAAAAGGGGCTTTTTACTAGAAAACCACTAAATCGCTCTAAACTTCATGTATTAATAACTCTATACGTATATAATACGTATAGCTAAAAGTCTAATTAATTAGTCTACTAGTTAAAGGCTATCTAATAATATAATTTTTATTACTACTAAAAGGAAGTAGAGTTCTTAGAGTTTTTAATAATTTTAACTTAAAAGTAAGAGGTTAGATAGGTATTTTTATAAGCGTTAGGCGTTATTATAAGAGGAAATAGCTTATATAAGTAGATAAAAGCTTAGTTAGCTCATAATAAAAAAAACTAAATAAATAAGTAAAAAATATACTTATTTTTATACTTTTCTTATTCTTCTTAATAGTTTTAATAATTATCTCTCTAGAAGAGCTTTTAGGAGTTTTTAGCTTAGTTTATAGAAAAAGATTTATTAACTTTTAATTTTTAAGAATTAAATAAAAATAAGTATTTTTTAAGTTTTTCTAGTTTTAGTTAGTTTTAGTTTTATCCTCTTTTTTAATCCTTACTATACTTTTTTAATTATTTAAAATAAAAATAAAATAGAATATTATAAGAATAATACTACTAAACTTCTTTTTACTAACTTATTTTCTCTTAAGAAATTATATAATTTAAAATATAAAAAGAGTAGAAAATATAGATAAAATATAAATTAGTTAAGCTTATATTTATATATTATAAAACTAGTAATTAATATAAAGAAATAAGTAAAACTACTATAGAGGATTTTTTTCATACTTATTCTATACTATTTTATTAAACTAAAATAAAGAAAGTTTTAAAAAAGTAATTTAATCATTACTATACTAGAAGAAACTTAGCTAATACTTTTTAACCTCTATTTTCCTAAAACAAAAAAATAATAACTTAAGTACTTAAAATTAAAAATCAACTAAACTTATAAAAGTTTAAAAACTTTAAAAAGAAAAATATCTAATTAAATAGAAAAAATAAATAAGGTTTTATAGTTTAATTAATCCTCTTTATTAACTTATTATCTATTCATTTAGAATTATTATATACTATTTTATTATAAGCTATTATAATAATAACTTAAAAGTAACTAAAATAAAATAAACTTATTTTATTTTTATTTTTAAAACTAAAATTATAAAAATAACTAAATTCATTTTATTTTTCTTATAAATGTTTTAAAAAAAGATTAATTAATCTATATTAAGTGTCACGGGCTAGAGCCCGGATTGATATCTCCGGCTTCGCCGGAGCAGTTACCGAGATCCGGCTCCGTTGGACCCACTATTCTGCCGCAGTACGCCGCCTAACCCGGGCTGCTTCACCGCTGTTAGGTGCCTACCCTTGTA